GAACCACAAGTTCAGTATGCCTGGAAAACATAACACTTATAGGTGAGTTGCAAGAGAGCAATTGAGAGAAGCAAGGACTACAATAGGTAAGAGCCTTATATACCATACAAGGGGTTTTAATTTTTCTTGAATGATTTCATACAATGATCAGACTTACATGTTGGAAAGATCACTCTGACATCAGAATAGATGAAGCCACATAAAACTAGAAGCAGGGATATGATTTTAGAAGCTCTGCAAAAAAAAAAAAAAAAAAAATGAAGTAGGAGCAGAAGTAGAAATGGTCATGGAAATAGGCTGCAGATTTTCAGAGATCTGAAAGAACATTAACAAATTATTAACTAGTTGAATATAAGTGATGGTAAAGGGAGGTGATTAAGAGGACGCTGTTTTCTGGCTTGATGCCATTAACTGAGATGGTGATCAGAAGAAGTAGGATGCGGCTTGGGAGGGTGTGTGTGTGGTTGGAGGTGAAAGAGGTTAAAGAGTTCAGTTTTGGATGTGTTGAGCCAGAGAGTAAATGAACAAAAGGTGAGGAAGTAAAGAATAGACATGTGGACTGCTCTTTCCAAAAATGGACTTGTGCAGGGGAAATCTTTTATATATGTTTCTATAGGGTCAGGGGAGATTGTTAGGGCATCTATGCATGGTGGCTTCCATTCTCTGAGGAGCTGGAGATGGTGCAATTTTCTGAAGGTTAGGGTGGTGATGAATAACCATGAGGAGGAGAATGGTAAAGTTTAGAGTAGCCATATCACATGAATGAGGAGCTAACTGCAAACACAAGGAAGCGGGAACTATAAATATGAAGAGACACCAGTCTACTTGCCTGAGAGCTTCTCTCCAGTTGTCCCTGGAAACCTGGGTGTCAGTCAGGCTTTCAGAGGTTGGTAGAGGGCTGGATACTTCCTCTTTTAAGTCCCCAGTATACTCAAGCATGCTGGAATGCCAAGAGAGGGTTACAAAACCAAGGTATGTTTCAAATGTTTACACTTAGGAAATAAATGCTTTTAACACACAATAATTAGTACAATGTAATTGTACTATTCACCAGATAATTACAGAATTTACTTAAGATATTAATCCACAATGCATTACAGAGTATCATTTGGTAAGTTTAAAGTTCTACAGTGGATGCCTTCTTGTAATTGTGTAGGTATACCTGGGCAATGCTTGTACAACCTCAGTCTGACAGAATTTCAAAAGCTTTGGATTGAAGTTTTTAATGAATGTGTGGCCCAGGCCCCCATAAGCCTTATATGTTGGAATGTAAAAGACAGACAACTGGATTAATCTAGTTTAAGAGATCCAGTTCACTGAAATACATGGGATAATAATGTTGAGGGCATAGATGATTAATAGAGGTTGAGGCAATGAGTTATGATTTCTAAACTGAATTGGGAAAGAAGTGCAAACAGGAGGGGGTGATAGGTTGGTAGAAAAGAAAGGTTAATAATAAATGAGGTGTGAGTAATGAAACCAGAGAACCAAAGGGCTATTAAGAGAATAGTGTAACATAGTTTGATTTCACAGCTTAAGTATTTCTGGATGATGATGGGGTGTGGACATAGGAGCAGGTGGCCAATGTGGAGTGAAGATGAGGGTCCATCATAGTTGAGAGGGCAAGTCATTTTAAGGCTAGCATTTCAAGATAGTGATTTACATGGACGCTGAAAATGATCCAGGATAATGGTGGGCCTTTGTATGAAGAAGGAGACTCCCTATTTCAAGATGCCTTGAAATTGATAATTGTTCCAAAAGTGGGGCTGGAGAGGAAGAGAGGGGACAAAGGATTGAATACATGTTATCATTAATCCTTTGCTAACCTGTGATTGAAATTTTATAGATGAGGAACAGTTAATTACGAAATCTTGGTCGATGCAGCAGAGGTGCTTACAGAATATAAAATCACTCCAAACAGTCTTTCAATACACTTATCAAAGTATTTTGTTCTCAGTTTAATGACAAGTGAGACAATATTGAACAAAGCAACCTCCGCTGTACCCTAAGCCCTTTAATTATAGTATTCATAGAAGTAAATGCTCTAGTTAAGGGACAGCTTCCATTACCATACCAGGTTTTTAATCACTTTGGTTCTTTAAAAGTTTTTTTTTTTTTTCCAGTTGAAGTTTTTAATGCATAGTTTCTGCCCAAAGGCTTTGTGTGGAATGATTATTGGACATGAGAGGAAGGGACTGCCAACAGGATCCTGATGAGAGTTTCTGCAAAGGGGAGGTCATGTCACTACATGTGAAGCAATCTGTGAACAGGGACAACAAAGATAGCTGACATTTACGGAGAACTCATCACAGGCCCAAAACTGGGCTAAGTACTTACTAAGCACTTACCACTGACTCATTTAATGCCTCAGTGTTTGAGGTAGCTGTTATCGCCCTTGATCCCAATATTAAAGAAATTAAAGAAGAGGAAACAAGTAATTTGTCCAATGTCTCACAGCTAGTAAATGGTGGAACTGGGATCTGAATTCAAATCTCTGTAACTCCAGAACCTACAAGTATATTGTTAAATGAACTTGACATTTTAGTATGGGGGTAGGGATAAATCCAAGAAGCAGTCTTTCTTCAGAAGAAACTGGGGTTCCGACCAGTTGATTAGAACTTAGCTTTAGAATCTAAGGGCCTGAAGCCTTTGCCCTGGCCCTGCCCTACTTACCAAGTGATATAGTTCCCTCTGCAGAATTCTCCTGGGCATGTCCTGGCTGGAGGAAGATTATCTTTTTGCTCAAGGGACCTTTTCTTGCTTAAACCTATTTATACGTCTGTTCCACTAGCATTACAGACAAAATCATTAAAACAAACGATTTCTTTAGAATGAGCCAGTGGATTTAAAATCAGAATGATGCTGCATAACCCTGAGAATACACTAAAAACAACTGAACTGCTTAAATGAATTGTATAGGACGTGAATTATATCTTTAAAAAGCTGCTTATTAAAAAATCAGAATATATGAATTAAAATTTTTCATTGCTTTTGATTTCTAATGGACTCCTCGCAGTGCCACATAGAGAACCAGGTGCCTGGGGTGAGCTCTTCTCTCATTCTTCAGTAGATATTCATGGAGTTCACCCTTGTGCCAGGCACAGGGATAACAAAGAGGGGTGGGTTCCCATCCCCTGAGGGCGAAGGGAAGGCACACGGAGGAATGCTTATAACCAAAGTGACGCACAGATTTTTAGCGCTGAGGTTTTCGTGACTATGTTGCAAGTTTCAGAGCTACAAAGTTTTCACTTTTAAAAACGGCAATTTTGTTTTTTTGTAAATTATATTAGTCACAGATCTAGTCTGAAAGCTTCAAATTACAATAATCGTTTATCCCTTTCAAGTTTTTGTGGGGTTTTTTGTTTGTTTTTTGTTTTTTTTGCACATTAGATGGACCTTATTAAAAGAACTGCTTGTTATGGGTATCTATTTTAACTCCAACCTACCCTTGAAGCTTTAAGCCTGCGTTGGGACTCCGGTTGGTCCAGCCGAGCTAACGCCGGGAGGGTTTAAGTGGATTTACACGTCCCCCTCTCGACTTCTTTCAGCCTTAACCATTTCGCATCTCAGGGTGAACTTGGAATCCTTTCACCGTTTCCCGAGGACTGGCCGGGAAAGGGCCCGGCTGGGCGCAAAGACTTCCTGAGGCCGAGGGCGGCCGCGTTCTCCCCAGAGAACCGAGTTCCGACCCAGACTGGACCCAGCGTTGGTCGTCCGGTCGACGACCTCACAGCACCGACCAACAGGCGCGCTCTCGGCCGGGCCGGCGACGCTCGGGCGGAGGCCGGCACCGAGGGCGAGGTGGTCACGTGCGGCCGGGAGGGGCGTTAGAGGCCCGGAGTCTGCAGGAATGTAGTAACTTGCAGGGGAAAGTTTCCCTCAGCGGCCGGCCCGGAACCGGTGCGGGCGGGCGCGCAGAGGAAGGAAGAGCCGGGAGGAGGTGGAGCCGGCCAGCGGCGCGGGCGGGCGGTTCTCTCAACTTTAGTTTTGGCGTTTGAGGCGAGTTTCTGTCTCAGTCGGGCGCTGCCGCCGCCGGGGAAAAGAAAGGGAAGAAGGAAGGAACAAGAAAAGGAAATAAAAGAGAAAAGGGGAGGGAAAAAGCAACTAGCTGTCCGGCATCCGTCAAGGGAGTGAAGGAAAAAGTTCTCAGGCGCCGCAGGTCCGGGTTTCTCGCAGCCCCTCCCGAGGCGCAGCCTCCAGACCAGTGGAG